TATAAGAATATAATAAGAAGTCAGCTATAATTATCAGAAATGTTGATGCTTTTTAAAAAAGATACAAACGGAGATGGTTCATCACAATAGCTCATAGAACTGCTAAGGGGGCGTCCATTAATCACGTGAGCAAGTTTTTGAGGATTTTTGGATCCCCACTCCCCCTTGGTGATACATGGTGATATTCAAATTACACCCCCCCCTCCCCCAGCAACATCAAGTGTATTTTAGTTACGTGAAAAAACTGTCTTTTTTTTTTTTCGAAAACATTTGAAATTAAAAATAAAATTGGGTAAAAAATAAATACACGTGATATCTTACTATACCCATCTCTCCCCCACGTGATACTTAGTGATTTTTTGTCTAAGGACCCCCCCCCTTCCCATAAGAACCTCACGTGATTAATCTAAGTTCTGATTGCTGCTCAAAAAATAGGAATATTGTTTGAGTGTGTCACTTTATAACTACAGCTTAATTTTAAATATCTGTTACTATTTTTTACAATTTTTCTGACTTTGGAGTTAGTTTTCAATAGAGATTTTCCTCCTCGATATCTCATAGCCCTGTTACGTAGTTCGAACGCGCGCATCGAGTGTGAAAGTTGGTTCCGATCGGTTTGTTCGTCATTTTCCCTTTTTTTGTTCTCGGTTTGCACTGGTTTATATTTATTTTCTATCGGCGCGTTTCCGGTTGAAAAGTATTCATGAGCGTAACAACGAATTTTCTCATATACGGCAATTTTACACTAAACTCGTAACGTAAGCTGCTAAGGCTCGGGTAACATGAATCTTTATCATGGACTTAAGGAACTTAATTTATAAATATCACAAAGTAAAATTTCACTGGCAAAACAAATATGTGGAAATATGTAATAACTATAATGTATCCCTATGATGTTACCACAATGTGGCTCTCACTTAGTGATTTTTGTGAGAAACAAATTGTTCTCTACTTATCATACTAACAATAAGAGGGCAATATATTTCCAAGAGCAAATAGTTTTTCTTCGGCATTACTATATCAAATTAAAAATCTTCATTATTAAAGAATTTCTAATCATTCTAGAATAGAGACCAACCGTTGGTCTCGTTAAGATAATCGTAACAGCTTATAGAGCATATATTGAAATTAATTAAATTTGATTACTATAGTCTCTAATGTATGATTTTATTTTGAACTAACATAAAAATATTTGCTCACATTTACAATTAAACAAAATAAATTTTCCCTAAACACACTTAACAATTCAAGTGAATAGAATTTATACTCATTTTACTTGTTAACTTCTCATAGGGTAAGTTATTGTAATGGGCTGAAAATCGAAATTGCAAATTTTTACATTTTTCGAAGTTTTGAAGGTTTCTGAACATTTTGGCATACCTTAGAAAAAATGGAGTATGTGTGCGTGCGTGTATGTGTGTATGGATACAATTTTTCGGTCACGTTTTCGGGCGCACGGATCAACCGATTTGAATGGTTCAAAAAACATTCGATTCCTATTGATAGGTAGATGTGGTGATTAGTTTTGGCAGAGGCAGGTCCAGCAGTTACGGAGATAAAGAGCAAAGAGTGCAGGAAATAGAAATCGAGTTTTTGAGAGAACGAAGCATCCGATTTGAATGATCTAGAAACATTCTGTTAGTAATGATTGAGAGAGGTGGTTATTAGTTTTTGGTAAAGACAGGCCCAGCCATTTTGAAGATACAGAGCTAAATGTTATATAAATGGCAGTTTTTGAGAGAACTAAGCGTCCGATTTAAATAATTCAAAGAACTTTCTGCTTGTTTTAACAAAATAATTGATATTGGAATTTTTTTTTTCAAAAAAAATTTTTTTGTATATCGAAAATAAATCAGATTTTATTTTTAATTCTGACTAAAGTTCTAATATACTTTAAACAAATAATTTCAGCTTTGCTATTCAGTTTATATAACTTTCATAAATATTAGACAATGTTACAATATTTATAATAATCTATTTAAAAACGTTCAATATTCCTTGAACATTTCCCAGTACGGGATGTTCCAGCAATTTGCCTTAAGGCAAGATCCCACACACCCCACTAGTTTTATTTTATTTTATAAATTAGGTTGATCATAATGCATGTACAAAACAATAGTAGTTCAAAGTTTTCAGAATTCACTAAATTGTTTCCAAATTATATTTTTTTGATTAACGACATTGAAAATAATTCTCCATTACACATCAATGTAATTTTTCATTCCTAGTACTAGAAAACGTTTATTACGGATTTGTCAAATCACTCCACTCAACGTAATTTTTTTTATAATACTATTTATGTTTATACATATACAAAATTTAATTCTTTTAATAAAATAATTTTATTATTCGTTTGAAATATGCAACTTTATACATTTTTTGCTTTTACAATGAAACCAATAAGAATTTTAAATAACTATTACTTTCCATTATGTGTATTTACGGAAATGGGAATATGTGTCGGAACCACAAATAAAATGATAAATTGCGTAATATCGATATAGCAATAAAAGAAAATAGTTTGTAAATGACTAATATTAGGTATATAAAGCTGTAATTTTTTATTGCTTCTAGAGTAGATGTTATAAGTCATTATTTTAAATCAAGTTACTAGTCAGTCAGTGTATCGTCATTGTTTAGTTCGAACTTGTTTATTCATTTTATTATTTGATTTTTTTTTAATTCAATAGCAATTGTTTTGATTGCTTTCGAGTGATCATGTAACTCTATACATACTTAAGATTTTTAATTTAGAATTAATTATAGGATGACTAATATAGAAAAACTTTATTTTTTTCAATATTCCGCATAACATGTTTGTTTAAATACTAATGGTATTGATATGCATTAGCGATATAAAGTATGATGGGCATAGCTAAATGATTATAAATTATAATATATACCCATATACATAAATACATCATAGGTATAAGAAAATTTTCAATCAAAAAATATAGATACGACCACCATTGATTTGAATCTTAAAGAGTATCATCACAACATCTCATAGGACTCTTAGCTCTGATTGCTGTCAAACAAAAATAAATTTATATTTATTGTGTGCCAAATCAATATGTATGTCAACCATATATTCCATTTTTACCAATAATTACCATATATTCAATAAATTACCTTTCCCATGTAATCTCGTCCTAATGGGAACTACCGCACGAGGAACAATAACGCTTAATACGCGTGACAATCATTTCGGGTTCGTTAAAGTTGTTTTCGATTGTTTTAAGTTTATTTGCGGGTTTCTATATCAAATTCTCGTCAAATCTTCTATGATAGTGTAGCACTTTCGCCGTTTATGTCACGATGTGAAATTGATACTGTTGCACTTGATCGAACGCACTTAATCATTCAACCGATGAATTCCCATATCAATTAACTAATATTAGCCTTTCTTTTAAAGAGGAAAATTTTTTTTGTCTTATACTTGATCAAAACTGAAAATCGGAAGAAAGGACCAAATTTTGAGGTAAAAACTTATGAACTATTCTAACGTTTCTTATACTTCGCAAATATTATGATTATTAAAAAATGTTTTCTGATGTATGGTGGATCAATAATTGGTTTTGCCATAATGAACTTCAAAGTCCATAGACCTTGCGGTTAAAATCGGTTTATAAACTACACAAGAACTATATTACCACTTTATATGACTACAAGGAAATAGTTGATGTATTCTATATTAGT